TATATATATATATACACACACACACACACTATATATATATATATTTTTTTTTACACCTGGCAGCCTGTTTGCTGTTTTATGAAATAAGAGAAGCCCAAACGGGGCCTCAGGATTTGTGAAATTTCTCAGGGAACAGCCACTTTGAGATAAAGTAAATCACAAAGCAGCCTACACAGCAGTAGCCCAACTCCACAGCTCACTTTTATTAAACTTCCATTTTTGACCAGTGAGAATGCAGTTCATGTTTTTTTTTCAAGCCAGCTGTAAAAAACATTCACATGTTAACTTAAACAGGTCTGCTGTTTTTTCCCGTCCACACCAGCAGAGGTATGGTATCCCAACATTGATCCTGAACATTTTCCCCAATACATGCCTGTCCACTGTGGACAGGAAAAACTCTATGGAAATATAATTTTTTTTAACATAATACTACAATAAACAATAAACAAACAATAAAACCACACGTTAAAAATCAGTATATCTACACGTCTGAGTGACAGAAAGTCCCTAATTGTGAGACGAACCGGTATTGGTTTGATTTTTGGAATGTCATTTTTTCTCGAACAGTCAGGGCAGATGGCCGCTCCTCCCTGAGCCTGGTTCTGCCGGAGGTTTCTTTCTGTTAAAAGAGTTTTTCCAACCCACTGTTGCCAATCGCTTGCTCAAAGGGGGTCTGATTGTATGATTGTTGAGGTTCTCTCTGTATTACAGTAGGATCGTTACCTAACAATATAAAGCCCCTGGAGGTGACTGTTGTTGTGATTTGGTGCTACATAAAAAAATGAACTGAATTAATGTTTCTTGTGAGTAGTGCTGTGAAACAGCTCTAAAAGAGTAATTTTATCCTGTAACTGTAAAAAAAAAAACTAAAAAAAAAACGCCACCCACAATCTTGTTTTCATGAGTCTAAAGAGACAATACATTTTCCCAGAAGCTTTATCCATTTTTTCCTTATTGTGCCTCTAGGCATAATTAGCACCAATGGTAAAAACTTAAAGTATTGCTTTTTGTGTGCGTCACT